TGTTCACAATTCTCAGAAACCAACATTATGTCCCAGCACATTCAAACCTAGCTTACCTTTCTAATGTCCTCATACAGACCGTTCAAGTCTCTCCAACCGAGTTTGAAGGGGTCAGTGTATTTCTCCCCACTCTGTGTTTTGCTACAACAGCACGCTGCCGACGTCGTGTGATGGAACCTGGGACAAGCACAAATGCACACAAGGTTAAGTGAGTTTTATTAAGTGAGATAATTTTGTTTTTTAGTAAGAATTATATACACTTCTACTTGCTGGAAATTAAGCACGAATCCAAAATGGTCATAATTTAGAAAAACACATAGAATTCTGTTCTTGCTCAACAATACAGCAATAGTTTATTTTTATACCCAGGACCTTGAGAACCCACAAAATCAAAGACTAAACTGGTTTACGGTGTTCTGGGTTTAAATTTTATTACATTCCCATTTTTTAAAAAGGCAGAGGTCACACAGAGCAGATATTGTGGCACTTAGTTAACCAAAATATTCAGTTTGTTGGACTAGCCCAGCACAATTTAGAATAGAAATTTACTGGCAATATGGCTTATAATTTTAGCAGTTATAACACAGATCATAAACTTACCGTGACATACTATACCTATGTGGAAAAGCAGATGTTAAACTCTTCACAAGATTAAAATAGGACATCTATAAAATAAAAGTATTAACAAACCTGTAAGAATATTCATGAAAAATGTGTTTATAATGCCAGATAAATAAAAACATTCATAATAATCATAGAATTCATAATAAATATAATCTTTATATTTTTTTATAATCTTTATTTTTTAGTTGTCCCTTTGTAGGTAGATTGCAAACTTCAGGAAGATAATAAAAAATTTCCTTATTACAAAAGCAATATTTATCATTACAGAAAATATAAGGAAGGGCGCCTGGGTGGCTCAGTTGGTTAAGCGTCTGCCTTCAGCTCAGGTCATGATCCCGGGGTCCTGGGATCGAGTCCCGCATCCGGCTCCCTGCTCAGCGGGGGGCCTGCTTCTCCCTCTCCCTCTGCCTGCCACTCTACTTGTGCTCTGTCAAATAAATAAATAAAATCTAAAAAAATAAAAAAAAGAGAAAATATAAGGAAAAAAACACATCTGTAATCTATCCTTTTCTCCAAAGGCTAGTTTCCATATTCCTATCTAGCTTTCCAGACCTGAAAAGGTAGTTTTAAAACAATTTCCTTCCACTTAACTAAGATTAGTCAGGGAATAGTAAAGATCAGTGTTATTTACATTCTTTTACATTCTTAAACGAGTTGAAAACAAAGAGTAATCAAGCTCCCCCAAGCATCAAAACAGATAGTGAAAAGGAAAAAGATTTCAATGTTGAAGAATGAATTTACATTTATACGTGAACACTACCTATTTTAAATTATTTTTCCTAAACATACTTGGAAAAGCTACTTCTTGATCAGTAATATTAAAAAACAAGCAAGCTCAGTGGCACGTTTTGAGAATATTAGAGATCAAGAACAACAGAAGATTACTAAAAGATTCAGAGGTGGTGGAGAGAATTATTAGTTCCAAAGATTATTGAGCACTACTATGGGCCAGGAAATGTGATAGGCACTGTGGCCCAAAGATGGAGACCACCAGTCTTAAAGAATGCAGGAACACAGTCATTTCAAAAATTACTAATTTACGGGGCCCCTGGCTGGCTCAGTCCGTGAAGCATGCGACTTTAGATCTCAGGAGTCATGAGTTTGAGCCTAACCTTGGGCACAGAGGTTACTTAAAAAAAAATTACTGATTTACTAATTTAATGTGGTAAGGGCTCTGTATTTGAAGAAGGGTTTTGTTGTTGTTGTTGTTGTTTTTAAGATTTTATTTATTTGTCAGAGAAAGAGAGAGAGAATGCAAGAGAGTGCACATGCAGGGGGAGCAGGCAGAGGGAGAAGCAGGCTCCCTGCTGAGCAGAGAGCCCGATGGGGGCTGGGGGACTCCTGGGGCTGGAGGACTTGATCCCAGGACCCTGGGATCATGAACTGAGCCAAAGTTAGCCAACCAAGTGAGCCACCCAGATGCCCCTGAAGAAAGTATTTTGACAAAAAGGATGAATTTAGCACAAGAAAAATAAAACGAATCCACTCTATTTGTAATAAAGTCTTACAACATGCTTTTACACTATTTGACCCTCACAAACTACTTGTTTTTATACAGCTGGGGAACTTGAAATTCAGAAAAGTCAAGTCTGGGTGATGGGCATTAAGGAGGCCCCTTCAATGGAATGAGCACTGGGTGTTATATGCAACTGATGAACCAGTAAATTCTACCCCTGAAACTAATAATACACTATATGTAAACTAAATTGAATTTATTTTAATTTTTTATTTTTTTAAAAGATTTTATTTATTTGACAGAAAGATACACAGCGAGAGGGGAACACAAGCAGGGGGATTGGGAGAGGGAGAA